AGGTACTTCTAAGTCGTCTCCCATATATACCAACAACAAAGACACTAATAGTGAACACAAAAGCTAGATATCGCACACAAGCAGAAGGGATAACAGAAACAAAAAGACAAACAGCCACAAACCTGGTCGAATCCTCGTATCTAATATGTACATTGCTGATGGATACTTTCAGATTACCAATAATTGTAGCAATAAGCGAACCTAGCCATGAATTTCCTGCAGGAGGCTGCAAAGAACCAACCAAAAAAGAGCTACATGTTATAACATGCTTAGCATATGAGAGGTTTTCTATCTAGTAGTTAGCAAGGAGTGCATATATCCTTCAAAAAAAAATCATAAGGAATCTTCTAAACTGATCAGAAAAGTTCCAGCGTCACTGAAACAGATACCCCCAGAAACGAAAATAAGATAAAAAACTAAAAAATAAGTTATCAAGTTTGGAAGCATACACTTCCCAGCTTAGATTTTGCTCTTGCTTCAAGCGTTGCTGATTCTGCTTCCTATTTGTAACAAAAACGAGAATGATAAATCAGAATAACACCAAGTCTGGTAACGATTGTATTCAAAAGTATGCATGAAGCTGCATCAGCCAGAAAAATTTAGTACCTCAATCTGGTGAAGCTTGGTTTCTAGAAGCTTTTCCCTGTCTTCCTCCTAGTATATAATTAGTGTAAGAAAAGTTGGTACCAATCAAAATGAAAAGCTTAGAGGTGAGGCAATGCAAACACAGATGAATGTTCCACCAGAATACCTTAACTGTTCGGCCATCAGGGGCAGGATAAGCAAGAACGAAGACACGGTCAATCAGAACAATAACAGGCTCTTTACCTAAACTTTTCCACGGGACCTGAAACAAATGTTTGCATCAGACATTTTCAAATTCGGGATATGCTACATATGCATCATAACCGGAGTTTTCTGATAAAGTAGCATTTACTGCTTTATATACAAGCCTAAGTTCAGAAACCAGTGAGAGTATCACCCTGACTAGCAATCTCCATGACAATTGAATCCGTATCAAAAGCTTCAATGTATGCAACAAACAGAGTCACACGCATTTCTGCTTTTTGTAAATACAGTCAAGAACTCAAGATTATGTCCAGTCAAATCATATGCAACTCCCCTTTATCAAAGCACATTTCTACCTAATAAATCTGCTATATCAGTCAGGCGTACAAAATGGTAACAGAGGTCTGTAGGAAAATCATTTAAATCCCACCAAGAGAAAGAAAATACCAACCTTCAAAGTGATGGTTCCGACAAAACCGGATTTGACAGCGACTGGAAGTTTCAGCGAATTCAGAGCCTCCGCCTTTAACTTCAAATCCTTAAGAACAACATCCCCTAAAAATCAAGAAACCCCAACATCAAAAAGGGGAAGACGTCAGATTAAACAACAACTGACTAGAAAGCCAAGGGATTACATCTCTACATATGTCATTTTTCACCCTAACGAGTAATCAGTAAACAGTAAACAGGCTACTTCAGAATGGAGATAGTTAGATCATGAAGTATTTGCACACAAGAATTGTCAACACGCCGTAGATATCCATATAATACTATAAGCAAAGAGAAAAATAAAATAAAAGCCAACCTTTCCAGACACTAATCCTCAAAGCCTCAGTCGAAAGTCCATGCACATATTCACCCAAATACCTCCGAAGCAGATGTAGTACCTGAATACCAAGTCGAGATTAATAGAGACTCCGTTCAATCAATTTAGATGGACATGAAACTGATGAAACAAAACAAAAAAATCTACCTAAGAGGAAAAATGTCCTGCAGAACAATATCACTATAATTGCAAACGGGAATGCAATTTTTGGAAACTAAAATTTCTGGAAAACAATCTTTTCTTATCCAATTAACTGTCTAAGTCACTAACTTAGAGAGTCCTTAAAAACATACTAAGCTTAATTTTAGCACATTATCAATTAATTAGTTCTCCAGTAGGCTACTAAGTAGGAACCCATTTCGTTTTCGATTTTTTCACATTTCCTAGTCCTACGATTTTCAATACATAATTCCAAAACATTTCCATACGACGAGAAGGCTAATCAATCGCAACATCGAAGTAAGACCAAAATAAATTCAGAAACTGAAGAAGCAGAGGTAAGACTCGTCGCAATCCCCAAAATTAACAAAAAACTAAAAGAAATGGCTTACATGAGCTTCGAACATTGCGGCGACGAACGGGACAAGAAATTAGCTGAGAGCGAAAATGGGAAGGTTTTTCTTCACGTTTGGTTCAGAAAATCGAGGATCATCGAGATCCGAGAAACGAACCGATTCAACATTAACGACGGAAGCACGATCTCAAATTCCAATCAAACAAGAGTTTCGTCGAATCCCAGCGATCGATTTACAGAGAGACTCGAGAGAAGCAAGAGACTCAAGAGGCAGGAAGATATAGAGAGAGAGACGGTTTGAGAGACTCAGGGATGGATTTCAGGTAATATACGTGCCGGTCCTTTGTATATTTTCGTGATATTTTGTCCGGTCAATACACTTATTATATCAACAATAGCTTAATTTCCTTTTGACCCCTAATGTATCTTAAACCTCACAATTTGTCCATAAATTTCTTATCTGAAACCAGAATCATAGAGATTTTGAATCACATAACGAATTACGTGTTTGTGATAAATCTATAGGAATAGGATTGAGTAGGAAAATAATAAAGAGGAATAAAAGAATGAGAATTATATTCATTCTTATATTTGATGAGAAATATTTTTGTAAAATAAGGAATCATACGTACAAAATTTTATTTGTAATTTGTAAATGATATAACTTTTTTTTTTTGGTAATAATGTTAAGAAATGATGTAGTGTTCATCTTCATTCATTGGGTCACCAATCAGAGCAATCAGGTTTATTGCTATAAGCTTGTGTGTTTTTGCTATTTTATTGATCTAGTTATGTCCATCTAGCTCTACAAAAGTGCGGGCGAAGATGTGGTTAAGCTTTTTAATCGTTCCAAGGACCAATCTTCAAGCGCAGCCACATTGCCACCTTCTTTGATTAGCAGTGGGAGAAGTGGCTTAGCAAGTCTTCTTTGCCATATTCACTAATCTGATCAGATTTTTGCTTCAACCTTCCATGGCGAACAAATTCTGTAAGTGCTCCATCGAGAGACTTGAACAGTTGACATTCATCATACATGCCTATGCATGATGCCTTAAACATTTCCGAAACATATGAGATCATTAGGAAAAGAGCTTATCACGAAGTTTTACCGTACTGCATGCAGAATTAATAAGAAAACTTTATTAATTAACTCGAGTATTATTCTATTTATGATTTTTTTTAAATGAAGGATACAACATATTTTTACAGAATATTATATTTAAGTAAAATATCAAGATCTTATCATTTTAAAAAAAAAAATTGACAATTGTTCAAAGAAATTTAAACAATTAATTTTCATATGTTTACTTGTATTTTCTATTCATTCATTTGAAATTGAAAAGATCCCAGACATGAACTTTTTAAAAGAAAATACTTTAAGAAATAAAATAGAGTATATTTAAAAAGGTAAATATTTTTTAAAATATATTTTTCCAATTTTGATCTTTACTTAGCATCCTTTTTGACTAGAACATCATAATATCACAAACCAATCGATTGATTTTGTCTTGTATCGCCGTCGCCGTTGAAGATAGTCGGAACTGTAGCTCTGCAGCAATATTCCGACTTCTTCTCCGTCGACATTGAGATCCAATCGAAGGTATGTATTTCTAACTCTATTTTAGTTTTTCGTTTCTTTAAAATTGTTTTCCCTTTGTGCTGGTAGCGGATTACAATCCGATTTCTGTGTGATTATAGCACATTGTAGTTCATTGATTTTAGGGATCTAGCTAATTTGATTCAGTTGTAGTTGTTAAGTATTAGTCTTTTTGCATGCCAATGTTATTTGCGAATGCACACTAATTTTCTTATTAGTTTGCGGGATTAGTCTAAATCGTAGTTGGACAAGTAGGATGAACAACTTTTTTTCCAATGTTCAGATTTACAGAATTATAACATATGTTCTTTAAAACTAGACGCCTTGTTTCTTCTCAGTTAATCTGAAATGTGAAATACATTCAACTGAAATCAGTAATACGTATGATACATATACATAGAAAATATTTTTTTTTCTTTCTATAAAGTGAGATATGGTTTTGTATACAGGAGTTGTGTTTATAGAGATATCATTTTCCGTCACCATTCTTTTCAAAGGTTTTCCACACTTCTTTACTTATACTTTGTATGTATATTCCTTTCCTGAACGATTTTCAGGGTTTTAATTCTCTCTCGCAAATCTCTCGACCTTAAAAACTCTGCTTCTTGTTTTTTTTTTTTAATAAAAGATTTTTTGCATTCCAATATTATTTGCGAATGCACACTAATTTTCTTATTAGTTTGCGGGATTAGACTAAATCGTAGTTAGACAAGTAGGATGAACAATTTTTGTTTCCAATGTTCAGATTTACAGGATTATAACATATGTTCTTTAAAACTAGACGCCTTATTTCTTCTCAGTTAATCTGAACTGTGAAATACATTCAACTGAAATCAGTAATACGTATGATACAAATACATAGAAAATATTTTTTTTCTTTCTATAAAGTGAGATATGGTTTTGTATACAGGAGTTGTGTTTATAGAGATATCATTTTCCGTCACCATTCTTTTCGAAGGTTTTCCACACTTCTTTACTTATACTCTGTATGTACATTCATTTCTTGAACGATTTTCAGGGTTTTAATTCTCTCTCGCAAATCTCTCGACCTTAAAAACTCTCGCTTCTTGTTTTTTTTTTTTTAATAAAAGATTTTTTGCATGCCAATGTTATTTGCGAATGCACACTAATTTTCTTATTCCGGTTTGCGGGAGTAGACTTAGTTGGACAAGTAGGATGAATAACTTTTTTTTCCAGTGTTCAGATTTACTGGATTATAATCGGCAAGGTTGTTTAAGGGTATTAAAAGAGAGATTCAAGAGTCAAATCTCAACATGGAGCAGGAGAGCATTGACTTTGAGCAAGGATGGGAATATATACAGAGTGGTATCACTAAGAAGAAACGCTATTTGGAAGGACTTGGGCCGGCACTTGACCCTGAGGAATCTATGGAGCTTTACACGACTGTCTACAACATGTGCAACCAGAAAGCTCCTCACGATTACTCACAGCAGCTTTATGACAAGTATCATGAAGCAGTTGAGGAATATGTTAACTCAACAGTGTTGCCTGCGTTAATGGACAAGGATGACGATGAATATATGCTTCTGCAAGAACTTGTTAAAAGATGGTCTAACCATAAGAAGATAGTTATTTTCCTATCCGGGATCTTCCATAGACTTGATAGTTACTTCATCCCTCGGAGATCACTCCCAACGCTGAAAGAAACTGGCCTGACATGCTTCCGTGACCTGGTTTATAACAATCTGCAACGAAATGTCAAAGAAGCTGTGATAACACTAGTCGATAAAGAGAGAGACGGAGAGGATATTGATAGGGAGCTGATGAAAAGCGTAATAGACTTTTACGTAGAGATCGGAATGGGAACGATGGAAAGATACGAACAAGATTTCGAGAGGTTCTTGCTTGAAGGTGCATCGTCTTACTATTCTCGCAAGGCATCAAGCTGGATTGAAGAAGATTCTTACAATGATTACGTTCTCAAGTCTGAAGAATGTCTAGAGAAGGAAAAGGAGAGAGTTACTCAATACCTTCCCTCAAGCAGTGTTCCAAAGCTGGTTAAGAAAGTTGAACATGATTTGTTAGTGAAGTATGCAAAACAGCTTCTACAGCAATCAGAGTTTCGTGAAATGGCGCGAGGCTTGGAACATATTGCAAACATATTCAAGAAATATGTCAGAGACGCAGATGGTCATGAAGACACGGAGGAACATGTCTTAATCAGAAAACTGATTGAGCTACAGGCTAAATACATGGTCTCTGTCACTGCCTATTCCCATAACCGCACCCTCTTTTACAAGACTTTGAAAGAAGAATTTGAGGGTTTTTGTAGACTAACAGTCGATGGAAGCTCTTCAAATGCTGAGATAGTCGCAAAATTTTGCGACAGAATTATCCTCAAGAAATGGGGAAGTGAGGAGGAGCTGAGTGATGAAGCTATTGAGAAGGTGGTCATACTTCTTGCTTATATAAGTGATGACAAGTTTCTTTTTGGAGAGATTTACAGAAAGAAGCTGGCCCTTAGGCTCTTACTGAATCGGGGTGCTAATGATCATGATCATGAGAGAAGTATCTTAACAAAGCTCAAGCAAAAATTTGGTGAGCAGATTACATTTAAGATGGAGAAAATGGTGACGGATATGATTTTGTCAAGAGAAAACCATAACGGTTTCAGTGAGTATGTCGCCAGTAATAATGCAAAACCAGGGATTGATTTCACCGTCACTCTTCTCACCAATGGTGTTTGGCCAAGTTACAAAACGTTTGGCATCAATCTACCAAGTGAAATGGTCAAGTGTGTTGAAGTTTACAAAGGGTTTTATGAAGCGAAAACGAAAGCTAAGAAACTTACTTGGATCCATTCACTAGGAACTTGTCACATCAATGGAAAGTTTGGTCGAAAGACCATTGAATTGATTGTGTCTACTCACCAGGCTGCTCTGCTTCTGCTTTTCAACACAAGAGACGTAATGAGTTACACTGACATCCAAACTCAACTGAACGTAACCGATGAAGATCTAGTGCGGTTGCTTCATTCCTTGTCGTGTGCTAAGTACAAGATTCTTATCAAGGAGACAAAGACAAAGACTGTTTCCAAGACTGATGTTTTTGAATTCAACTCCAAGTTTAACGTTAGAATGCGCAGAGTAAAGATCCCTCTCCCTCGTGGTGATGAAAGGAAGAAAGTCGTTGAAGATGTAGTAGAGAAAGACAGGCGCTATGCAATTGATGCTGTCATTGTCAGGATCATGAAGGGAAGTAAAGTATTGGGATATCAACAACTTGTTTCTGAGTGTGTCGAGCACCTAAGCCTGATGTTCAAGCCTGATATTAAAGCGATCAAGAAACGTATGGAAGAGTTAATAAACAGGGATTATTTGGAGAGGGACACTGAAAATCCTAACTTGTTTAGGTACTTGGCTTAGGTAATGAAACAAAGCATATTTACCTCTGCTTGTAATATCCTAAAAGACATACTATCACCTTTGTTACCTTTTCCCCTTTTTAAAAACTTCATCGTGCTTTCTTATTTGTTTCTTGGGATGTAAGTGACCTTGTGGTTCTTGTTATTTGTTGGGTTTTGTTTCTTGGATATGATTTGATATGCTTTATAATAAGATTAGATCGAATCTCAATTTTCTCTACCCAATTATCTTTTCATTCTCTTCGTCCAAAATATCATCCAATAACCCCTAAAATAGTAAAGAGGACTAAAAGAATAAATATTATTATTCATTCCTAGATTTGATGAGAAATATATTTGTAAATATTAACAGTGGGAGAAGTGACTTAGCAAGTCTTCTTTGCCCATATATACTGATCTGATCAGATTTTTGCTTCATCCTTCCATGGCAATCAAATTCTGTAAGTGCTCCATCGAGAGACTTGAACAGTTGACATTCATCATAGATTCATACATATATATGCATGATGCATTAAACTTCTCTTTTGTTTAGTTCAGATGTCACCTTTCCGAAACATATGAGAAGTCATTAGGAAAAGAGCTTATCAGAAAAATTTTGGACCCTACTGCAGAATTAATAAGAAATCTTTATTAACTTGGAGTAATATTCTATATATGGTTTTTTTAAATGAAGGATAAGAAAAAAGTTATAATTGATATTTGTTCAAAGAAATTAAAACAATTAGTTTTCATATATTTACTTTTATTTTCTATTCATTCATTTTAAATTGAAAAAAATGAAGTTTTTTTACAGCAAAGATTAAAAAGAAACAGAGTAATATTGAAAAAATAATCGCTTTTTAAGATATTTTCCAAAATTGCTCTTTATACTTATTATCCTTTTTGACTTTCTTCCTTTTGTCTATGTATTGAGATATTTTTTATATATAACTTTTTAATTTAATTATTAAAGTAATAATAGACTCCCCAAAAAATATATTGTTTCAAAAAAAATAAAAACAGTGTAATTTTCAGTTCTTTGAAGATATTTTTCCGAAATTTCCTTCTTTTTTTTTTACTCAAATCCAAAATTTCCTTTATTTATTTTACCTTATGAACTTTCTTGTTTTTTTTTCTTTCTATAAATTGAGATATGGTTTTGTATACTGGAGTTTTGTTTATAATATTAGAATCTTCTCCGTTCACCACTCTTTTCAAAGGTTTTCACACTTCTTTATTTATACTCTGTATTTCCTGAACGATTTTCAGGGTTTTAATTCTCTCTCGCAAATCTCTCGACCTTAAAAACTCTCGCTTCTTCTTCTTTCTGAAATCTTGAATCAATAGACGTCAAGGTTGTTTAAGGGTGTTAAAAGAGAGATTCAAGAGTCAAATCTCAACATGGAGAGCAAGACTATTGACTTTGAGGAAGGATGGGAATATATACAGACTGGTATCACTAAGCGGAATCGATATTTGGAAGGACTTGGGCCGGAACCTGACGTTCCGACATATATGGAGCTTTACACGACTGTCTACATCATGTCCACCCAGAAACCTCCTCATGATTACTCACAGCAGCTTTATGACAAGTATCGTGAAGCAGTTGAGGAATATGCTAACTCAACAGCGTTGCCTGCGTTAACGGAGTAGGATGACGATGCATATATGTTTCTGCAAGAACTTGTTAAAAGATGGTCTAACCATAAAAAGATGGTTAATTACCTATCCAACATCTTTAAATATCTTGACAGTTACTTCGTTTGTCGGAAATCACTCCCACCAGTGAAAGAAGTTGGCCTTACAAGCTTTAGTGACCTGGTTTGTAACAATCTGCAACGCAAGGTCAAAGAAGCAGTGATAACACTAGTTGATAAAGAGCGAGACGGAGAGGATATTGATAGGGAGCTGGTGAAAAGCGTGATAGACGTTTACGTACAGATTGGAATGGGAAAGATGGAAAGATACGAACAATATTTCGAGAGGTTCTTGCTTGAAGGTGCATCGTCTTACTTTTCTCGCAAGGCATCAAGGTGGATTGAAGAAGATTCTTACAATGATTATATTCTCAAGTCTGAAGAATGTCTAGAGAAGGAGAAGGAGAGAGTGACTCATTACCTTCCCTCAAGCAGTGTTCCAAAGCTGGTTAAGAAAGTTGAACATGAGTTGTTAGTGAAGTATGCAAATCAGCTTCTACAGCAATCAGAGTTTCGTGAAATGGCGCGAGGCTTGGAACATATTGCAAACATATTCAAGAAGCATGTCACAGACGCAGATGGTCATGAAGATACGGAGGAACATGTCTTAATCAAAAAATTGATGGAGCTACATGATAAATACTTGGTTTATGTCACTAAGTATTCCCATAACCACACCCTCTTTTACAAGACTTTGAAAGAAGAATTTGAGAGTTTTTGTAGACAAACAGTTGATGGAAGCTCTTCAAACGCTGAGTTACTCGCAACGTTTTGCGACAGAATCATCCTCAAGAAATGGGGAAGTGGGGAGGAGGAGCTAAGTGATGAAGCTATTGAGAAGGGGGTCATACTTCTTGCTTACATAAGTGATGACAAGTATCTTTTTGCAGAGTTTTACAGAAAGAAGCTGGCCCTTAGGCTCTTATTGAATCGTAATGCTAATGATCATCATGATCATGAGAGAAGTATCTTAACAAAGCTCAAGCAAAAATTTGGTAAGCAGATTACTTTTAAGATGGAGAAAATGGTGACGGATTTGATTTTGTCAAGAGAAAACCATAACGGTTTTAGTGAGTATGTCGCCAATAACCCTAATGCAAAACCAGGGATTGATTTCACCGTCACTCTTCTCACCAATGGTTGTTGGCCAAGTTACAAAAAGTTTGGCATTAATCTACCAAGTGATATGGTCAAGTGTGTTGAGGTTTACAAAGGGTTTTATGAAGCGAAAACGAAAGCTAGGAAACTTACTTGGATCCATTCACTAGGAACTTGTCACATCAATGGAAAGTTTGATCAAAATACCATTGAATTGATTTTGTCTACTCACCAAGCTGCTCTGCTTCTGCTTTTCAACACAAGAGACATAATGAGTTACACTGACATCCAGACTCCACTGAACGTTACCGATGAAGATCTAGTGCGGTTACTTCTTTCCTTGTCATGTGCTAAGTACAAGATTCTTATCAAAGATCCAACACACAAAGACTGTTTCCAAGACCGATGTTTTTGAATTCAACTCCAAATTCAACGTTGGAATGCGCAGAGTAAAGATCCCTCTCCCTCGTGTTGATGAAAGGAAGAAAGTCGTTGAAGATGTAGAGAAAGACAGGCGCTATGCAATTGATGCTGCCATTGTCAGGATCATGAAGGGAAGTAAAGTGTTGGGACATCAACAACTTGTTTCTGAGTGTGTCGAGCAACTTAGCCGGATGTTCAAGCCTGATATTAAAGCGATCAAGAAACGTATCGAAGATTTAATAAACAGAGATTATTTGGAGAGGGACAAGGAACATCCCAACATGTTTAGGTACTTGGCTTAGGTAATGAAACAAAGCATATACGTATATCTCTGCTTGTAGTATCCAAAAAAAATATTATCGCCTTTGTTCTTCCCCTTTTAAAAACTCGATCGTGCTTTTTTTATTTGTTTCTTGGGATGCAAGTGACCATGTGGGGTTTTGATTCATGATGGTTTAGCTGGCTTAATAAGGTTGGATCGAATCTCAATTTTTCTACGTAATAATGTTTTCATTCTCTTCATCAAAAATCTTATATATAATTAGGAGTTGCTCTCTCCATTTAGAGTGTCCACATCAGCACAAAAACATTAAATTGTATTTAAAATATTTATTAAATATATGACTATTCATATTTCTTTACATTTATTCATATTTAATAAAAATATACAAATAAATTAAATTAATTAATAGAAAGTATGTGATAATTTGATGTTAAAAGTTATCAAAAAGTTGGAATATAAAATAGAGATGGAGTAAAGAAATATTTAACTTCAAATAGTATATATTTACCTTTTTATTCAAAGGATTATCCTATTTAAAAATGTTATAATGTGTTTACAAGTTAAAAAGTTGAATATAAATTAATTAAGATAATAGAAAGCTAATGAAAAATTAGAGTTAGAGTTTGTTTTTCTAAACAAATAGAAATGGAGTTTTATATGTAAATTTAATTGTAGTGAAAAACAAGAATATGTTTACAAATTTTAACCTTCAGTCAAATGCATGCATATACATATTTATAAATTTTAACCTTCAATCAAATACATATACATGTTTACAGTCTAATAGAAGTAAAAAAAGTAAACAAACATAATATTTATAACATGATAAAATTTTAGAAATAGAAAACTCGAGATAAAGGGGTGTTAATATCCTAATAAATTAAAATAAAAAACAAATTATTCATATTTTTTAGTGTTAGTGGTTGAGTTAACTCAAAACATAACAAAAACATGAAAGTTAATACAAAACCATCATAATTCAAATCAACGAGTATAAATAAAATTAAACAGAAAAACTATCGCAAACAACCCCGCGCTTGCGCGGGGCTTCAAACCTAGTATCATTCAATACCCTTGTACAATTTTTCTTTTTTTGCGTTTGGAGCCCCTCATTTCTCAAGGTGGATTCTGATAGTAACAACCAACACAAACAGAGCATGCCACGGTTTGAAATAAAGTAGAGACGCATATTTTAGCCTATTATTAATGAAAGAGTTAGGAAGCTTTTTCTCCTTATAGTTAGATCAATACTCTTGACTCACAATTTGTCCATAAACTTCTTATCTGTCTGAAACCAGGATCATAGAGATTTTGAATCACATAACGAATTATATGTTTGTGATAAATCAATAGTAATAGGAATGAGTAGGAAAATGATAAACAGGACTTAAATTAAGAATAAGAATTATTATTCATTCTTATATTTGATGAGAATTATTTTTGTAAAATAAGGAATCACATATGTACAAAATCTTATTTGTAAATGATGTAACTTTGAAAGAACGAAAAGGAATGTAGTGTTCACCTTCATTCATTTGGTCACCATTCAGAGCAATCAGGTTTATTGCTATAAGCTTGTGTGTTTTTGCTATTTTATTGATCTCGTTATGTCCATCTAGCTCAACAAAAGTGCGGGCGAAGATGTGGTTAAGCTTTTTAATCTTTCCAAGGACCAATCTTCAAGCGCAACCACATTGCCACCTTCTTTGATTAGCAGTGGGAGAAGTGGCTTAGCAAGTCTTCTTTGCCATATTCACTGATCTGATCAGATTTTTGCTTCAACCTTCCATGGTGAACAAATTCTGTAAGTGCTTCATCGAGAGACTTGAACAGTTGACATTCATCATACATGCTTATGCATGATGCCTTAAACTTCTCTTTTGTTTTCTTGAAGCATGCATGTCACATTTCCGAAACATATGAGAAATCATCATTAGGAAAAGAGCTTATCACGAAGTTTTGGACCGTACTGCATGCAGAATTAATAAGAAAACTTTATTAATTAACTCGGAGTATTATTCTATTTATGATTTTATTAAATGAAGGATACAGCATATTTTTACCGAATATTATATTTAAGTAAAATATCAAGATCTTATCATTTTAAAAAAAAAATTGACAATTGTTCAAAGAAATTTAAACAATTAATTTTCATATGTTTACTTGTATTTTCTATTCATTCATTTGAAATTGAAAAGATCCCAAACATGAACCTTTTAAAAGAAAATACTTTTAAGAAATAAAACAGAGTAATATTTAAAAAAGTAAATCTTTTTTAAAAGATATTTTTCCAATTTTGCTCTTTACTTAGCATCCTTTTTGACTAGCACATCTTAATATCACAAACCAATTGATTGATTCTGTCTAGAATCGCCGTCGCCGGAACTGTAGCTCTGCAGCAATATTCCGATTTCTTCTCCGTCGACATTGAGATCCAATCGAAGGTATGTATTTCTAACTCTGTTTTAGTTTTTTCGTTTCTTTAAAATTGTTTTCCCTTTGTGCTGGTAGCGGATTAAAATCCGATTTTTGTATGATTATAGCACATTGTAGTTCATTGATTTTAGGGATCTAGCTAATTTGATTCAGTTGTAGTTGTTAAGTATTAGTCTTTTTGCATGCCAACTTTATTTGCGAATGCACACTAATTTTCTTATTAGTTTGCGGGATTAGACTAAATCGTAGTTGGACAAGTAGGATGAACAACTTTTTTTTCCAATGTTCAGATTTACAGGATTATAAAATATGTTCTTTAAAACTAGACGCCTTGTTTCTTCTCAGTTAATTTGAACTGTGAAATACATTCAACTGAATTCAGTAATGCATATGATACAAATACATAGAAAATATTTTCAATTTTTTATATAATTATTAAAGTAATAATAGACTCCCAAAAAAAATATTGTTTCAGAATAATAAAATAAAAAACAGTGTAATTTTCAGTTCTTTGAAGATATTTTTCCAAACTTTCCTTTATTTATTACCTTATGACATTCTTGTTTTTTTCATTCTATAAACTGAGATATGGTTTTGTATACAGGAGTTTTCTTTATAGAAATATCATTTTCCGTCATCATTCTTTTCAAAGGTTTTTTTTTTTTTTATTTAAGGTTTTCCACACTTCTTTACTTATACTCTGTATGTATATTTCTTTCCTGAACGATTTTCAGGCTTCTTGAATTTTTTTTAATAAAAGATTTTTTGCATGCTAATGTTATTTGCGAATGCACACTAATTTTCTTTTTAGGATTAAACTAAATTGTAGTTGGACAAGTAGGATGAACAACTTTTTTTTCCAATGTCCAGATTTACAGGATTATAATCGGCAAGGTTGTTTAAGGGTGTTAAGACAGAGATTCAAGAGTCAAACCTCAACATGGAGCAGGAGAGCATTGACTTTGAGCAAGGATGGGAATATATACAGAGTGGTATCACTAAGAAGAAACGCTATTTGGAAGGACTTGGGCCGGCACTTGACCCTCAGGAATATATAGAGCTTTACACGACTGTCTACAACTTGTGCGATAGTTACTCACAGCAGCTTTATGACAAGTATCGTGAAGCAGTTGAGGAATATGTTAACTCAACAGTGTTGCCTGCGTTAATGGACAAGGATGACGATGAATATATGCTTCTGCAAGAACTTGTTAAAAGATGGCCTAACCATAAAAAGATGGCTAATTTCCTATCCAGCGTCTTCCATACTCTTGACAGGTACTTCGTTTCTCGGAGATCACTCCCACTAGTGAAAGAAGTTGGCCTTACAAGCTTCCTTCCTAACAATCTGCAACGCAAGGTCAAAGAAGCTGTGATAACACTAGTTGATAAAGAACGAGACGGAGAAGATATTGATAGGGAGCTGGTGAAAAGCGTAGTTGAGTTTTACGTGGAGATTGGAATGGGAAAGATGGAAAGATACGAACAAGATTTCGAGAGGTTCTTGCTTCAAGGTGCATCGTCTTACTTTTCTCGCAAGGCATCAAGGTGGATTGAAGAAGATTCTTACAATGACTACATTGTCAAGTCTGAAGAATGTCTAGAGAAGGAGAAGGGAGAGTGACTCATTACCTTCCCTCAAGCAGTGTTCCAAAGCTGGCTAAGAAAGTTGAACATGATTTGTTAGTGAAGTATGCAAATCAGCTTCTACAGCAATCAGAGTTTCGTGAAATGGCGCGAGGCTTGGAACATATTGCAAATATATTCAAGAAGCATGTCACAGACGCAGATGGTCATGAAGACACGGAGAAACATGTCTTAATCAGAAAATTGGTTGAGCTACATGATAAATACATGGTCTCTGTCACTGCCTATTCCCAAAACCGCACCCTCTTTTACAAGACTTTGAAAGAAGAGTTTGAGAGTTTTTGTGGACAAACATCGATGGAAGCTCTTCAGATGCTGAGTTACTCGCAACATTCTGCGACAGAATCATCCTCAAGAAATGGGGAAGTGAGGAGGAGCTGAGTGATGAAGCTATTGAGAAGGTGGTCATACTTCTTGCTTATATAAGTGATGACAAGTATCTTTTTGCAGAGTTGTACAGAAAGAAGCTGGCCCTTAGGCTCTTACTGAATCGCGGTGCTAATGATCATGATCATGAGAGAAGTATCTTAACAAAGCTCAAGCAAAAATTTGGTGAGCAGATTACATTTAAGATGGAGAACATGGTGACGGATATGATTTTGTCAAGAGAAAACCATAACGGTTTCAGTGAGTATGTCAAGAGAAAACCATAATGGAAAACCAGGGATTGATTTCACCGTCACTCTTCTCACCAATGGTTGTTGGCCAAGTTACAAAACGTTTGGCATCAATCTACCAAGTGAAATGGTCAAGTGTGTTGAAGTTTACAAAGGGTTTTATGAAGCGAAAACGAAAGCTAGGAAACTTACTTGGATCCATTCACTAGGAACTTGTCACATCAATGGAAAGTTTGGTAAAAAGACCATTGAATTGATTGTGTCTACTCACCAAGCTGCTCTGCTTCTGCTTTTCAACACAAGAGACATAATGAGTTACACTGACATCCAAACTCAACTGAACGTAAGCGATGAAGATCTAGTGCGGTTGCTTCATTCCTTGTCGTGTGCTAAGTACAAGATTCTTATCAAGGAGACGAAGACAAATATTGTTTCCAAGACTGATGTTTTTGAATTCAACTCCAAATTCAACGTTGGAATGCGCAGAGTAAAGATCCCTCTCCCTCGTGTTGATGAAAGGAAGAAAGTCGTTGAAGATGTAGTAGAGAAAGACAGGCGCTATGCAATTGATGCTGCCATTGTCAGGATCATGAAGGGAAGTAAATTGTTGGGACATCAACAACTCGTTTCTGAGTGTGTCGAGCAACTTAGCCAAATGTTGAAGCCTGGTATTAAAGCGATCAAGAAACGTATCGAAGATCTAATAACCAGAGATTATTTGGAGAGGGACACAAAAAATCCTAACATGTTTAGGTACCTGGCTTAGGTAATGAAACAATGCATATGCATCATCTCTGCTTGTAGTATCCTAAGAAGTTTATTATCGCCTTTGTTTTCCCCTTTTTAAAAACTCGATCGTACTTTTTTATTTGTTTCTTGGGATGCAAGTGACCTTGTGGTTTTTGTTATTTGGTTAGTTTTGTTTCTAGGATATGATTTATAATATGATTAGATCGAATCTCAAATTTCTCTACGCAATTCTCTTTTCATTCTCTTCATCAAAATATCATCCAATAACCACCTGATTCTATTGATAAAAAAAAACCATAGAACATGTACGTAATTAGTTATCTTATTATATAAAGCTGGATGCGCGACGTGGTTGCGACACGTAGGATTTTTATAAAATTTAGGATTGCGACATGTGTCACTTTTAATGTTATGTCCGTTAAGATCGTGACATGTGTCTTAGAAAAAAAAAAAAAATAATAATTAAAAAAAATTAGATAAAGGAAAAAAAACGAAATTTTAATCTTTTATAGTTAAAAGAAAAAAATTATATTTGTCATATCCTAATAGAAAAAGGTTTCTCATTCATCAAATTTATATTATCCAAACACATATAAGATTCAAATTAATGAAATAAATAAAATCCTATTAGTACATGAAATAGGTTAGGTTTAGTTAATCTTTTATAGTTAAAAGAAAAAAAAATTATATTTGTCATATCCTAATAGAAAAAGGTTTCTCATTCATCAAATTTATATTATCCAAACACATATAAGATTCAAATTAATGAAATAAATAAAATCCTATTAGTACATGAAATAGGTTAGGTAAACTAAATTTCCTATAACTGCATGGAATAAGTTACATGAACCCCTATAAAAAGAGAGTTAAAGTAGTCTTTTTTTTCTCATTCACAAACTCATCAAAGCAAACAACATGATAGCAATACGTATGATTTTTATAACTCACAAAATTGCGATATGTGTAATAAAATAATGATAATAAAAAAAACTAACTAATAATGAAAATGAAAATTTATAATGGTCTGAGTCAAAAACAAAATTGAGAAAGAAACAATATAAATAGAAAACTAACAAATTAATTATCAAGCAACTAACTAATATTAAGAAAATATAATGAACCGATATTCTAATTTTAAATAGTTTAATATATTTTCAATATTGTTAGGTAAAAAATTATTAAATAAAGATTTCATCAATTGAAATCTCTTGAATGGAATAATAAAGTTTTGTTGAATTAATTAATCAGTTGATCATATTTAGACATATATAAGTCTTTCTATATTGGATAAAAATAAAAATAAAACAAATTAATTCATTTTTTATATCATGAATTCAAAAAAAATATCAATTACAATAAAAACGTAAAAAGGTTACCGATCTTATTTTATTTAAATATTTTTATCGGGTTTTTAATATTATTCTGTTTACTTTAAAATGATCAAATTTGGTTTAATACTTTTCCATGATTTTATTACAAAATCTTAAAATAAACCCGCGTATACGCGGGTCTTAATCTAGTATATTATAAACATGAAAACTATGTAAAGATGCACGTACAGGTACAGCCAATTAATTGATGAAGTTGGGTCAAACTTTAGAAATGGAATATAATTTCAGCAGCCAGCAGGAAATCCAGATCGAAAAGAGAGTATTATGTTAAATATATAACCTTTTCGTTAAGAAAATTAGTGGCAATACATTTTGGATTGAATACTAAACAAACATCCACGAAGCAGACAAGAACCTTTCTGTGTTTCTTTCACTGCTTTACCGAGCGTGAACATTGTCGTCAAGCCGTCCAAATCACAAGAATTAAAATAAAATAATTATTTGATTTCATTAGTATAAGCATCAAATCAAATTTCAACGTTATGATATGAATAGATCACTAACCTAAAAATCCATCAACCCGTGACGCATCTCTGGGCAACATACACAAACCCGTGAGTTTTAGAGACCCACACGTGGCGATTCACCAATTTTTCAGTCTTTTTTTTTTAATAAAAAACACTCATATAGATCTCTCTGTTATCGCTTCTCGTAACTATTTTACGTCGATTACATTTGAGTTATCATGCATCTGGTAAAGAAAGGCAAATATTCTTTTTTTGTTAAAGAAGAAAGGCAAATATTCTATAATCTATATGCAACAATTTTCTAGTTTTATTAGCAGCATTTGGTACGTAGCCCAAATACAGAACCTAACTGATCATCATAATTCGGAGATTTATCTCTCTTTTCTTTTAACAAAGATATCTCGTTGTGATGTTGTTATCGTAAAAAAAAATCCTTTAATCTTTAACAAAAAAAAAAAATCCTTTAACAAAAAAAAAAGATGTTGTTATCGTAAATATATCGTTGGGATGTTATGGCCATCTTCGTTTGTTGCTTGATGCCAATGTCACAAAACATTTTATTTAATAGAAACATATATTTTCAAAAAATCGTGGAGTTAGATGTGTTACGTAACGGATCGCAATACCAAACCATCATTGTTTTTTTTTTTTGGTGCTAAAAGCCAAACCATCATTGTTTATGCGCATTATACTCAAACGTACATTCAATCACATGGAAACATTATCTTCATCTACACACACACACACAAAAAGTTATCATTAACTGCCGATAAACATAAAATCAAGATCGTTTCAAAAGCTAAATGCTATAACCATATATAAGACCCAAAATAAGTACCAAATGGTCGAAGCCAATTATCACTGCTATAAAATGCAGAAACTTATATGTTTCGTACAGAAAATATGATAACCAGCAAAAATCTGAATAAAATAAAAGATTAAATAATACACTTACGTGCTGTCGTGATGACATAAATGTACACACAAAAAGTTTGATGTTACTACCAAACTCTCACAGTTTGCGGCATTTAGATTCGGAGTCAACACGTGTCTCGATTTGGAGATACGAACAATACGGAAAATGAACCACTAACAGAGAGAGTGGCGGCGCGTGGAACTGATATTAAGTTGAGCCACAAAGCCATCACAATCTTTTTTTGTAAAAGGAGTTTTAATCCGACCCGTGAGAGATGATATACATGTGACATATAGAGACGAAATGAAAGACTCACGTAGCTTTAAAACTTTATTATTTTTGTCTATCTTAATATTCTCCTTCTAATCAAATAACTAAACAGCTTTTGTGAGTAATGGCTTCGACTTTCGAGTCTTTTCCTAATAGGAAATCATATGATTATTTGAATGATAAAAGAACATATCATATGATTATTTGATTGATAAAAGAACTTTATACGTTGGTTACAACTGACAAGTGACAACTATATATTCGAGAGGAAATTGGTAACGTTTAATGAGTGCAATCAAACGATTAGTGGATTGTATTTCATGACGATATCGAAATTCATGATATACTGGTTGTCTCACTCTCACATAAAAACCATTTTATGGTACTTGTCAGAAACAAATATTCTTTTTTTGACCTCAAAATATAATGATTTTCAATAAACTCGAAAACGATCAAGTTGAAACAAGGGGAAGATGAGTGATACACACACGCACACATATATGTGTGGTTATATAGTATACAGGAGATGATAATTAGATGTATGTGTAGACATAAATCATTATCCTTAAAATTGATAGAAATTTGTATACCATAACTTACAGAAAGGAAAAATTAGAATAAAAACAACTAATTAACGGACAAACTACTTTATACATTTGAAGAATATTAAAGTCGCTTTCTTGGATTACTTTTCACATGCAATATGAAATTCATAAAAGTATTGGTATGCACATTTTCTGTTAAGAAGTTAGATGAATTTTGGCCGACATTAAATGATGTCGTTATAATAAAAGAAAACATAGAGAAATGTGGGAGGACAGCTCGTTAGAAGCATTAAGACCAAAGGATAAAATTCCTGAGCCCGCCCAACTTTTCCTCCCTCTTCAACGTCCACAAGAAAATACTCAACTACAATACAACAAAGTGTCACGAGATTCGTCTATTTGTATACTTTTGCTTCTCTATTATTTATTTCGTTTATTTTAAGATGTATATATAAAACAATGTGAGCATATTTCAATATATGTGTTTTTGGTACGTACGGCGACACTGTTTGTGTTAAACATATTAATTTTTTATATATAAGATGCATAACGAAAGGAATATTAACATAATGATTTGTATCTGTATAAGTAACCTATAACTTGGGTTTTGATCTAGGTTACAACTTACAATGATATTGATCATATATGTCGAGGCCTATGTTACATTTGGTTTCCCTTAATCTCAGTCTACCAAGTAAATTTTGTTTTTCTAAAGTCTCAACATGATATTTTTTTGTTGTAAAGTGCTCTCAAGAATTTTTTAATCTTAAGTTATGACCAGGTCGATGCATGCATGGCATGGCCATATCGTTGAATTCATAGCCGATTTGGAGGAAAAGCCGAAGAGGTGATAGTGTACATGACTCGCTAGCCATATTTTAAAACTATCAAGATAAGAAAAAGATAGATCATGTGTTTTAACTAGTTCGTTTAAAACCAATACAATCCATATACTTGTATTATAGATTTCAGTATTTCATCAAAACAAAAAAAAAACAAAAAAAAAAATTATTGTTGGCGCATATAGCTCTAAACAGTAAACATGCATGGCCTACAAAAATTTAAGTCGGCCATGTAAAAAAACATGATAGGTGACGTCATCATGTCCGAACAGTAAGCAGTACAAAGAAAGAAGGGCTTCGAATGGTGACACAGATCAAAATATACAAATCAAACAGTAAATACAGATCATACAGAATAAATACAGATCAGATGAAACAAATCTAACGAATTATCATATTTAATTGAATTATAAAACAACGAAAAAGAATGTAAATATATAATTTGAAAACTTTAAAACAACAATACAATTATATATGCAAGAAATATAATTACTACAATAAATATATAAAAAATTGTTATTTAAAGATTATAAATATTCATTTATTTTTATTTTCCCTAATAAATTAAATATTATTCCTTTAGTGCTAGCTAGAGCTAGGACTTTAAAAACCGATTCAAAATTGATAAAAACAATTAACGAAACTGAACAAAACCAAACCCAGAATTAGTTCTTATATTTTAAACCAAAAAACGAACTGAAAACTTAAAATAAATATCCAGAATATAATTACATAACCTGAAAATTATTTATATATAGTTTGGAAAATTAAAAAAGATACCACAAAATATTAAAAATAGTTAGTTATTTATGTCAAAATCAAATATATTTCACTGAAATTAAATAAGTTTTGCGTAATTTAAATACCCAAACCTGACTCAAATCCGGAAAAACCCGAACCGAACCTAGCTCAAAAAATAAAAATATCCAAACGGAATTTATAGTTATAAACTTGAAAACCCAAAACTCGATGTAACAAATGAAGCAAATCTAACGAATAAATGAATCGTAAATTAATATAAATCAAATAATTTTTTAAAAATACAATTATAGATGCAATCAATATATTTATTATAATAAATAGGTTTGGAATAATTATTGTTTCAAATGTAACTTCCATTAAAACATACTGCAACAATTATAACAGAGTATAATTATTTGTCTATAATATAAACTCATGTAATTTTCTTTTTTTCAGATCCCATATCAGATATTATCATATAAACAAATATAATAAGTTAAACAGTTATAGAATATCATATTTGATTAAACGATAAGAAAAAAAATGAAAAGTTTCAAATCATATATGTAAAAAAAATTCTTAAAAACAAGTAATTAAAAAAATTAGACATTATCTAAAATTTAAATTCCATTACAACATACAAAAAATTATTTCCAAAAACCTAACGTGAATTGTTTTTGTCTGCCCATAGTGTACTCGCAATATGTTCTCTAATGTTAGCCATAAAATCTCCTTCTCCTATTTCCGCTTCTGCCATCACTTGGTTCTATCATAGAACTTGTGTTACCAATCTCTGTGTCTCTTCTTACATCAGCAAAATCTTCATCTGAAAAATTAGAAATTCTAATAAAATTATGTAGTCCCATTGTCGCCATTACCACTCTTTTTTGAACTTTCTTATCATATCCTAGGAAATTCACAAAGAATCCTCCATTTCTTCTTCCATACTCCAAAAGTCCTTTCAATAACAGAACGTAAAGATGCATGATATCGATTAAACAACTCTTGCTTGTTTCTAGGAGGAGGACCATTTTCAAATTGTGACATATGATACCGAACAACCACATTCCGTGAAGATCTAAAGGAGCCAAAAAACCTTGTTTGTTTGGATAGCCAGAATCGACTAGATAATACTTGTCTGGTGGAGGTAAAGGAAAATCGGAATCCCTTTCTTGCGCCATTGTGAGAACTGCTGTATCATGACATGAGCCAGGTGCTCCATTCCAAACATATGTGAATAACATATTGAGATCACATATCGCCATTATATTAAATGAAGTTATATTGTGCCGGTTCCAGTACATTCCTTGAACTTCAGGCTTCACTTTAACGCAAACATGAACTCCGTCCATAGCGCCAACAAATCCACTAAAATATGGCCAATATCTTTGATCCATTACTAGTCGTTCAGGAATTTGTCGTAGTTCTTGGGTTGTTGGAGTCCTGATATAATCACAAGCAAGTAACTCAGTCGCTTTAAGCACTTCAAAAAATTTTCGATTCACAGTCTCTTGCGTCCGTCCAAATCGTAATCCAACATCTCTTTGAACTTCGTTATGCCCACATATCCGTAGAAACATGGCCACACTCTCTTCAATGCCTACATTCAATGTTGGTTGTAAACCATAACTCGTTTGCAGTTTATCGCACAATGTTCTGAAAGCACCTAATTGACATCCGTAATAACTGAAGACAAGCGGCATCATCTTCTTGTAGCCGACGCCAAATATTTCTCCATCCCAAACCGCCACCAGTTTGGACCGGTCCTCTTTCAAAATATTGATTGTAGTAACTTAATGATGGTTGGATTATTAATTCTTCAAATTGCTCATTTTCCAAATTCCACAACTCAATTCTCTCCTCGTAACTTAGATTGTGGAGACCATATGATCGTAACTGACATATACGAAAAGCCTGAAAAATTGTAAACATGAAAAACACGTAAATCAAATTGATAAAAATAATCAAAAAATAAATAATAGTTATATATTATAAAACATACCAAAAAGCATAATAAATAATTAATATTGCAACAAGATAAATCATAAATCAAATTGATAAGAAAATGCAATGTTCGAAAATACATAAAACATATTAAATATTTATTAAAACATAACATATGCGAATAACAAAACAAAGTGGTATAACTAATCTTCAGTTCCTGAATCACTTTGATGACTTTCATTTAAATTTGGTCCTTGTTTATTTCCCCAAATATTGAATAATCCTCCTACTCTCCGCGGTCTTGTCTTGGTATTTGTGCTTCTGAAGAATAATTTGTGAAACCGAATTCAGGTGATACTCCCCTCTGAACATTTTCTGAAGTACGAATCTCTGATTCACGTGCAACTTCTACTTGACCAATCGTTGTAGTTTCTACTTCAGGTCCTAGTGAAAATCCACGCTGAACATTTGTTGGAGGAATCCATTGATTTGCATTTGGTGATGAAACCCACTGTTGAGCACTTGATGATGGAACCCATTGGTTGGCATTTGGTGATGAACCCCATGTTGAGCACTTGATGATGGATCCCATTGGTTGGCATTTGATGATGAACCCCACTGTTGAGTATTTGCCGTACCCCATTGCGGAACATTTCCTGATGAACCCCATTGTTGAACATTTGGTGGAGTGCTCCACTGTGGGACATTTGGTGGAGTATTCCGTTGCTGAGCGTTTGGAGGAGTGCCCCATTGTGGAACACTTGATGATGGACCCCATTGCTGAGCATTTGGAGGAATACCCCATTGTGAGAATACTTGGAGGATGCCCCATTGCTGAGCGTTTGGAGGAGTGCCCCATTGTTGAGAACCATGACTCCATTGTCCATTTGGAGTTTGTTGTAAACTTTGGCGTTGAAACTCTCTAAAACCAGCCATTGTATCTGCTAGAGTTGCCTGAAATGATTGTTTTCTGCGACCTCCTCGTGAACCATTCCTTAATGAGACTTGTGAGCCTCCTGCAACTCTGTTTATAGCACTTTCACGTCTCACTCTTCCTTGTTGTGAAGCTCTGGAAACTTGATTCTGGAACATATTAATCGGTGGAGTTGGAGTAAACTCATTTGAATTGCGTGTCTGATTATCAATGTCAACACGATACCCCTCTTCATTTTCTTGTGTCTCTGGAATTTGAGTGTCTTGAATATCCTCACCATATATTTCCGAATTCAAATAACCTTCATCATCAGCATAACCCTCGTTCATCATCTCTTCTCTTCTTTGACTCACAGAGTATTGAGTTTGTGAGTGGACGTCATACAATCTAAAACAGCGTTGCATAATATCCCAAAACTCTGGAGGTTTTTGTGAAATGCTTTTATAATTCTACATACCTGTCAACAAAATTATGTTGTTTTTAGTTAACATATTTTTTCTGTTTTGTAAAGTTATTTAAAAAAAATTGAGTAAAAGAGATTAAAAGTACTTACTTCACGGTCTTTCCACCATGTGTCTGATGCAGATATCACAGATGTAACAGGATCAACCGAGATTCCCGTAGAATTTTGTATAAGACCCAAATACTTTTTGTACTTTCTTTTCATATGATCAAGTTTTTTTCTGAAAAACTTGTAGTCTATATTAAGACCGGACTCCTCGTTGAACTTCTCTACTATGAACTCTTTACCAATCGGTGTAGGATCTTTTAAACGGTAATTGTTCATAGCAAGAGCTTCGTCATACAACTCGATAAATTTCCGTTCTCGTCTATGAGTCCAAATGGAGTTCTCGTCATCCTAAAGTTTTTTAAACTCATAATCTAAATTACTTGCTAAAACTCAACTAAACTAAAAAATTTGAATGTATAATAGTAAGAATCTTACCCGTACTGTTGCTTCGGAATGAGGAATAGTATCTGATTGTATGGAAAAATTTCTGTTTTGTCTACGATTCGACGCCACATCTAGAAAAATTGAAAATTATATTGATTTATTGAAAGAATAAACATTTTTTTAATAAGATACTGATTTTTCAAATTATATATATAAGATATAGGAATATAGTATTTTTAATAAGATATCATTGATGCAGTTATGTAAATTACATTTTCAAATTATTTGAGGACTATTAGCTTTTAAAAGGTTTTGGCTTTCATTTTTTGAAGAAGAAATAAATGCTAATAATCTGATTTTCGAAAATACTTTTTTACCCAATCTTAAACAAAAGAAAACTGAAATGTATTTACATAACAATTCAGTATTTTATTATTTTAATGAGTTACTAATATTTTATACATATTTCAAACTATATATGCTTCAAAGATATTAAGCATAAATTACAAATTTGAATATGGCATTTTATGATAACTTTATTTTCTAAAATGTATATATATAATGTGATGAACTCAAAATTATGATAACTTTATTTTCTAAAATTTTGGAAGAGTAAATTAATATATATATGATTCAATGTTTTGTAAATAGTACATGTAAAATCTGTTTTCTGTTTTATTTTTTTATAACGTAAATTATTAAGATATTATTATATCATTTTCATAAAATATTTAAAACTGAAATTGAATTAAATCCAATAAAAGGGTTAAAATGCTAATAAGTAAATACTATCACCACATAAATCTCAAATGCATATATTTTAAAATAGTAAAGATTTCAGTTTTTTAAACATGACTAATTTAAAAGTTATCTACTATATAACTCACTAACATAATTTATAAAAATGTTCACACTATCTCCCTATAACAAAAATAGAAAGAAAAAAGAAAAAAACATACCTTTAATTTGAGAGTACTTTTGATGGATAAAACAACCTGTAAATAATTAAAAGGAAAATATATAATTACATAAAAGTGAAAATCACAATGCATGTATTTGTTTAAATGAAATGAATATCAAATAGATATAATAATAACTATAGAAGTCTATAAATATTTACTGTTAAAAATACAGATTATGAAATAAAATACATTAGCTTAATTTATTATAAAAAATATATCTTTGTCAATTAATGTAAATAATATTTAATTTTGATGAAAATATATATTTAATAATGAAAAAAAACAATATGTATAACTATTATTGGTGCAGAAAAAAAGATTATTGTAAATATGTAAAACAAATTTATATAAGTTCCTTTTGGATATAAAATTTAATTATTATATAACTCACTAAACATAGTTTATAAAAATGTCCACAACTATCTCAGTATAACAAAAATAAAAAGAAAAACATACCTTTATTTTGAGAGTGCTTTTGATGGATAAAACAACCTGTAAATAATTAAAAGGAAAATATATAATTACATAAAAAGTGAAAATCACAATGCATGTGTTTGTTTAAATGATATGAATATCAAATAGATATAATAATAACTATAGAAGTATATAAATATTTACTGTTAAAAATACAGATTATAAAATAAAATACATTAGCTTAATTTATTATAAAAAAAATATCTTTGTCAATTAATGTAAATAATATTTAATTTTGATGAAAATATATATTTAATAACGAAAAAAAATCAATATGTATAACTATTATTGGTGCAGAAAAAAAGATTATTGTAAATATGTAAAACAAGTTTATATAAGTTCCTTTTGGATATAAAATTTAATTACTATATAACTCACTAAACATAGTTTATAAAAATGTCCACAACTATCTCAGTATAACAAAAATAAAAAGAAAAACATACCTTTAATTTGAGAGTGCTTCTGATGGAAAAAACAACCTGCAAATAATTAAAATGAAACTTTCTAATTATATACAAAATTAAAACCACAATGCATGTATGTGTATGAAATGAATATCAAATAGATATAATAATAACTATATCAATTTATAAATATTTACATTGAAAATATAGATTATAAAATAAAATACATTAGCTTCTTATATTATAACATATATTTCTCAATTAATGTAAATATTATTTAATTTTATGAAGGTATATATTTAAAAATGATAAAAAAAATCAATATGCATAATTATAATTGTTGAAAAAAAAATTATGAATATGTTAGATAAGTATATATTGTAAATTTCTTTTGATATGAAGGTTATTGTGTTTAGTAATATTCATAAAAGAGATTCAAAATACAATATTTATATTATATCTCTTATCAAAGTATAAATTTGTAACAAAAAAAGAAAGAAAAAAAAAGAAGAGAATCTTACCTTAGAATTTGAGAGAGTATAAATTTCTCTTGTATAAAAGTGAATAGAAGTGAATGAGAAAAAGTGAATAGGAGTGAATGAGAAGAAAGTAATATGTGGGGGTTTATAAAGAAAACCATGAAGGCTAAAAAGAAAAGAAATTCGTTGGTAAAAAAAAAAGAAAAAACAAAAACAAAAAAAAATTCTGGAAAGTTAACATTCATTGGTCCCCGGTAGGTCCCATGCTCCGAAAAGGCTCCCTTTATGCAGGTTTTTATTTTTTTTAATGGCTTACTCTGCATGCAGAATAAAGTAAATATCTCCTGCAAAAACTCAGATCTACTTTTTTGCATGATTGGTGAGTCAATGCAGACTGATCTGACTTTTTTTTAATCTGCTTTTGATCTGTATTAGTTCGATGTCTCCATTCATAGCCAAGGTGAACAAAGCGACATTTAATTATTGAACAGTGGCACACGCACACACATGCATGCATCACGAATGTAAACACCATATTTCAAATCAATCCTTTCAACATTATGTATTCTAATCATTTGGTATTTAATTATGGGAAAATTTAATCAATATAGACAGATAATCTGACAATTAAGTATATGGCAAAATAACATGATAATTAGTTTTTATGAGAGAGAATTTATTCTTTAAACCAAAACTATCCTTTTTATTCTAACATATTTACATAAGATGCCATTAACCTTTAAAAGATAACTTTCGTATTATCATGTTAATTTAATGTAACATAACGTGATAATAATATTGATGATCGTGCTAACTTATAATAAGATATTAGTTAGCACGATAACCAAATAAGTTATCACGATATCATATTAGTTATCATAATATCACATTAGTTAGCAGGATAATCAAATAGTTATCATAATATCATATAAGTTAGCACGATAATCGATATTATTATCATAATATGTTACATTAAATTAACATGATAATACGAAAGTTATCTGTTAAATTACAATATAAAGGAAAGTTATCACAATATCATATTAGTTAGCATGATAATCAAATAGTTATCATAATATTATATAATTTATTTGTTAGCAGATATGTTAGCATGTTACTCAGAATTTGCTAAGGCATTAAAAATAATTTGGATGGTCAGGGTGTTGTGTGTCTTCCACCAGTGAAACAGTCAATGAACAGTGACACGAAAAAGTTGTCAGTGTCACCCATTTAATTAAAGAAGTATTGATGTATATTTTGTGCAATTTCCCTTTAATTATTTATATATGTAGATTTCTTTTTTGCAAGATTAGCTTATTGTTAGGCTTATCATATTCATATCATATATATGTTGCTTGTTTTTTGTAAATAGCAACTACGTAAACAAAAAAAATACATATCCATAAATAGTTACTCTCACAACCAAATTTGTTATGTTCGTAGCTGTTATTCAAGTTTAGGGTTATACTTTAATTACGTCAACCTAGCTAATCTTATATAGAGACAGAAACCCGAATGCATAAAACAAGACAGTTTTTGTTAGTTACGTGTTGGTGGTATTTCAAATCTATTTAGAATTGGAATTGTTGATGATCTCTTTTAGTTTTTTTATCCTCATTGTTCATAATTTTCTCGAAAGAGTATATTATTAGTATTTTAAAACATTTTTAGTATACAGTTCGCGTAGCAATGTTTGACATGGGGATTGGGACAAAAACAAGGGTTTCTAATGAACCTTGTACTGACTTGCTGTCAACTTTAAATTAACTTCAAATTCAATATGCAAAAATTAGGCTGGCGAGTAACATCAATAATAAGCTGATGACAAATCTGGATCTTAGATCATTGGGAACATGAGATATCTTGGACCCCGCGTTACATGTAGTGCCAAATTACAGTTACCGTGGTAGTTTAAAATTTCTTTTGTCCAAACTCCAAAGATTAACTGCATTAGAAAATTATTGAAATTAAAATCACAAATGCAGTTTAAGAGTTTGGATTTCTAAGAGGATTAGTATAGAATTTAAGTAAGAAACATGAGAAGGTAGTTGAATGAGCTTTTAATGCCTCTCTCTCTCTTTTCCGTTAAACATCATACATCATACACAGTGGCGAATT